TGATGATAAAGATTAGAAGAAAAATAAAACCAATTAAATGCCAATTATTTATCAAATTGAGAAATAATACTACAAGCATTTACCATTTAGAAGTTATCATTTTAAAATGAAAAATTAAAAAACACAAAGCATTAGTTACCCTGATAGTCTTGATATTTTTTTCATAACAAATATTTCAGATGTAAAAACATTTCATTTTCCATTGTTCTTGATCAAACTGTTGAGAGGGTGTCCACAGCATCTTCAACTTGGGGATATGTGTTGCTTCATTTAAGCTCACTTCCTTTTCTTTTTTGAGGAAACTATTTCGTCTGCTTCTCTTTTTTTTATGCTGAAATCAATATGTTAATTCAGATTTCAGATTGGTTTCTGATTTCCTGTCAGATTACTTCATAATATTCACATTTTCTCTTAGTGTTTCTCCTGCTATTCACAAAGGACTGTAGCTTATATAAAATATTTAAATACTAGTATACTCCAGTGAACATTATTTGATACTATTCAAACAGTGTAACATCTAGTAATATTAATAGTTCTATACTGAATCCTGTGTTGAAATGATCAATTCAAGGATTTACTTTGCTTCCAAAAGGTATTATTTCTTGGAACAATACTTTTAGGACTTTTACAAAGGATACAATGCATATAAACTTATTAATATTTTAATTTCATGAAAGAGATATTTATGTGGTATATGCACACAGTGGAATATTATTCAGCCTTGAAAAGGAACAAAATTCTGACACATGCTACAATGTGGAAGAACTTTTATGGCATTATTATTATTATTATTATTTTAAATATTTATTTTTTAGTTGTAGTTGGACACGATATCTTTATTTTATTTATTTTTTTGTGGAGTTGAGGATCGAACCCGGGGCCTCACAGATGCTAGGCGAGGGCTCTACCACTGAGCCACAATCCCAGCCCTATGGCATTATTATTATTGTCATTTGAGGTGCTGGAAAATGAATTCAGGGCCTCATGCATGCTGGACAAACCCTCTTCCACTGAGCTATACTCAAAGCCTAAAGACATTATTTTAATTGAAGAAAGACAAATGCAAGAGGGCAGCTGTGGTATGAATATATAATCCACTTATATGAGATTCGTGGGGTAGCTCAAATCATAGCAAAGTAGAATGGTGAGTGGCAAGGGCTGGGGAAAGGAGACTGGAGAGTTACTGTTTAATGTGGCAGAAAATTAGTTTATAAACATAAAGTTCTGGAGATGGATGGTGGTGATAGTTGCATATTAATATGAAATGAGTTAATCATTACACCTATGATGATTAAGAACATAAGTTCTATATATTTTGCCACTTTTTTTTTTTTTTGAGCCAGGGTTTCATTATGTTGCCCAGGTTGGCCTTGCGCTCCTGGGTTCAAGGGATCCTCCTGCCTCAGCCTCCCCAGCAGCTGTGGCTCCAGGTGTGCACTGATCACTATACCACAGGAAAATGATATTTGAGCCAAGACTTGATGGAGGTGAGGGAGAAAGCCAAGCAGATAAGTGGAGAAAAGATATTGCAGGCAGGAAACAGCAAGGAACCTGGGAAGGGATAGGCCGGCGAGGTATTCAAACCGTAGAGAGGTCAATGTGGCCGGAATGCACTGAGCAAGGAGGACACGYGTAAGAGATGAAGCAGAATAAAGAGGAAAGGAGAATAGATTTGTTCGAGAATTTGTTTTAAAATAAACGAAACTATTGATCATCAAAATGACATTGTCTGAACTACATTTTGCAATGACCCCAATTTTCCCTACTCTGTATGAGGCTGTTGTGATAGTCTGGGGAAAGAAGGCCATAATCTATTCCATAGTAGCAATGGTGGGGTCTGAAGTATGTAGAGCCAAAAGCATTTGTTAACAAATTGAATGTGAGAGCAGCAGACAAGTCTGAGACAACCTAATGATTTTTAAAAATTATATTCTTTAGTTGTAGGTGGACACAGTACCTTCACTTAATTTTTATGTGGTGCTGAGGCTCAAACTAGTGTCTCACACATTCTAGGCAAGCGCTCTGCCATGGAGCTACAGCCCCAGCCCGACCTAATGATTTTTTTGGTCTGAGTCAGATATGGTGGTGCACAGGAGGCTGAGGCAGGAGGATCACAAATTAAAGGTCAGCATTGCCAACAGAGTGAGGCCCTGTCTCCAAATTAAAAAAAAAAAAAATAGAAAGGAGGGCTGAGGTTCTAGCTCAGTGACGCATTTGCCTGGCATGTGTGAGACATTGGGTTTGATTCTCAGCACAGCATATAAACAAAAAGCAAAATAAAGGTCCATTGTCAACTAAAAAAAATTTTAAATAGAAAGGATTAGGGATGCAGCTCAGTGATAAAGCACCAGTGGGTTCCATCCCCAGTGCCACAGGATGATCTGAGAAACCAGAACACTGGTCATCACTGGCAGGGACAAGAAAACGGTGAGAGAAGAGGTTGGGAAGAAAGGCCAGAAGTTTAGGGTTAGATAGTCCCTTTTTTAGACATTCAAGTGGAGAAACTGGATGGGCAGTGCGAATGAGTTCAAGGGAGACAAAGGCTTTGAAGACATGAATTTGAAGCCATGAACCTCAAGGGGATGTGAAGGGAATGAGTGTGGATACAAAGATAAAATCCAGGACTGATCTCGGGCGAGAGATCAGGCACAAGCAAAGGAGCCAGCAAAGGAGACAGATAATGAGTAAGTCTGGAAGGAGGAAGGAAGCTGGGAGACAGGGTCTGGCGTCAGGGCACCCAAGAAGACTGTGCTTTAAGGAAGAGGGCGTGGCCAACTCTACCAAGGGAGGAAGGTCTGGGAGGTGAACAATGGATTCACTGTTGCTGTTGCCTGTCACTGGTGTATTTGACAATGGGGCAGAGACCAAACTGTGCTTAGTGCAATATTTAGCATACTATGAATGGGAATAGTTATTGGCTGTTATCAGCGAATGGTTGATTTCAATACTTGCCAATTGACCTGTTCTGGTCTTATTTCCTCCAATCCAAGAACTCCCTCCAAGTGATCATTCAAAAAGGCAAAAATAACCTGCCTCACTTACATCTTCAATGCAATCATGCTGAGATGAGAATGCAGAAAATTACATGTAGAAGGACCTCTTCATGGCATTGACTCTAATAGGGAAAAACTGGAAATACTTTTAATATTTGACAACAGAAAATTGGATGTGGCAGTTAAAATGCATCTAAAGAAAACACCATGTAGCCATTAAAATAGTGACATAGAACATTGAGAGAGAACGGTTTTTATGGAAGTATTTTAATTTATATTGCTAGATGAACAGCTGAGCAGTATTAAGAACCAATTTACCAGCTGGCCATGGTGATGGGTGCCTGTAATCCCAGAGGCACAGGAGGCTGAGGGAGGAGGACTGCAAGTTCAAAGCCAATCTCAGAAATTTAAGGAGGTGCTAAGCAACTTTGTGAGAATCTATCTCTAAATAAAATCGAAAAAAGGCTGGGGATGTGGGTTAGTGATTAAGCACCTGACTTCAATCTCTGGTACAAAAAAAAAAAAATTACCAATTTTTGTGTTAACCAGTTAGCAAAGTAATCCACAGCCAGGGTTTGCAACATTTTCTGTAAAGGGCTACATAGCAGATATTTTAGGCCATGTAGACCATACATCTCAGACTCAACTATTCGGTTTTAATGTGAAATGAATTGTAGGCAATATATAAATTAATGTGGCTATGTAATAATGAAACTTTGTGAACACTGAAATTCAAACTTTATATTTTCAGGTCATAAAACATTCCCCCAATCATTTAAAAATGTAAAAAGCACTCAGTCCATTGGCCATAGGAAGATTAGCAGGGGGTTGCCTTTGGCCCACAGGCCATCCTTTGACAGATCTACAGACCTCAAAATGCTCACTGCGGACAATTTTCCCAAGATAATGGGAAGTTACACTTTCCTTTTTTTCTTCTAGTACTGGGGTTGGAACCCAGTGGCACTGTTCTGCTCAGATACATTTTTGAGACTGGGTCTCCCTGTGTTTCTGAGGCTGGCTTTGAACTTGCAATCCTCCTGCCTCAGACTCCAGAGCCACTGGGATTATAGGCGCCCGGCTCTTCGCCTATTTAAACACTCCTATATATGTTTTGTCAGACCTGCCCTGTCCATCTCCTTTATCTTCAAGTTTGTAGATTCTACGGACTCTATCACCCATTAATAAACTAAAAACTTACTCTTTAATGTTTATTATTATTTATTATCCAGCGTCTCTTCTCACCCTCCACCCCATGTGAAGACAGAGATATTAATTTTGTTCGCTGATTAATTCCCTGCACCCAGAATAGTGCCGGAACACGGTGGCAGTTCATTAAATATTCTTCCAATGCATGAGTGAATAACGTTATGAACTATAATTTTTTGGCGCGGTACTGGGGATGAAAGCCAAGGGCGCTCTGCCACTAAGCTACATTCCCAGCCTTTTAAAATTTTTCAGACAGGGTCTCGCTCAGTCGCCAGGCTGGCTTCGAACCTGCATCCTCCTGCTTTCGTATGTACTATTCTTAATACCAGAAACCTAAACTCCAATGCAACAACAACAAAAAACTTCCGTGAATTTCCATGCCTTGGAATGAAGCTAGCAAACTTGGCGGGGCAGTCCCCTTAGTTCCATCCACTCCGCCAGTTTCCGAAACAGCTACTTCCCGCCCTCCGGGCCGCGCCCGCGCCCGCGCCCGCGCCGAGCACGCGCCGCTCGCTCCCGCCGCCACTAGGCGACGCCCCTACACAGCGTCTGAGCCCAAACACAAATTCCACGTGATTCGCGTCGCACCCGGTGGGCGTCACGTGACGGACTCAGTTTTCCTCCAATGGCTGTGCAAGTTGTGGAGAATCTACTTAGGACCCGGCCCGGGCCGTAGATCTCCTCGTTCCTCTGCCAACCAAGCGGGCCGGCTCCCCGCTCCCAGCTGGGCAGCGGAGCCTCGCCAGGGACTTCTCTTAACTAAGCTTCGGAGGGCCCAGGCCTGCGCCGCGGTCAGTCCCGGAAGTGACCTCTCCCAGAGGGGCCGGAAGTGGCAGTGGAGGGAGGGAAGATGGCGGAGGTGGTGAGTCCGGTGCCCGGGGCGGGGCGGAGGGAGCCAGGGGAGGTGGGTAGAGCCCGAGGCCCCCCAGTAGCCGACCCTGGCGCCGCGCTGTCTCCCCAGGGGGAGATAATCGAGGGCTGCCGCCTACCCGTGCTGCGGCGGAACCAGGACAACGAAGATGAGTGGCGTGAGTGACGTCGGGGGGCGGGGCCAAGGAACCTGAGGGCGAGGGGCGGGAGGGAGTCAACCGAACCCCCGGGATGGGGAGGGGCCTCTGAATCCCGGGGCGGGCGGGGCAAAGATACTCTGGGGAAGGGGCGTGACTTCTAGCCGCTCCGAGATGGACAGGGCGGAGCTTGGAGAGGGGGTGACACTTGGTGACTGAAAGGGGTTTGGGCGAGAGCTTGTAAACGGTGAGGCATAGGGATCCGGCCTGGGGGTGGGGTTCAGGTCGTAGAAGGGTGGTGCCTCATGGTCTGAGACCCCTGCCTGTGTTGTTCTCACAGCCCTGGCCGAGATCCTAAGCGTGAAGGACATCAGTGGCCGGAAGCTTTTCTACGTCCATTATATTGACTGTGAGTTCTGGGCCTGGGTGAGGTGGGGCTGCAGGGTAGTGTGGGGGGCAATCTCTGGCATTCCTTCCTGAGCCATTCCCACTGCTGCAGTCAACAAACGTCTGGATGAATGGGTGACCCACGAGCGTCTGGACCTAAAGAAGATCCAGTTCCCCAAGAAAGAGGCCAAGACCCCCACCAAGAACGGACTTCCTGGGTCCCGCCCCGGCTCTCCGGAAAGAGAGGTGGTGAGTAGGTCCCTGCTTCACCTTTTCTCTCCTGCCTCCTCCTTCTCTCATCTCTTGGCCTTAGGGGCTCCTGGATGGGCAGGAGGCAGCACCCTTCCTCCTTGACTTCAACTTGCAAAGAATGGGGGCCAAATTGCAGATGTAGCTTCCAGAGTCCAGGGACTATTCTTGTGTCCTTGAGAAGGCAGAGGGAGGGGTTTGATCACTCCATGCTGAGGGGCCCTTCCCCTTTGCCATCCCACCACCATACCCACCCCAGAGGAAGACCCTGGACCTATTTCTACAGCCGGCCTCCGCCCAGGCCAGCGGGAAGACCTTGCCAATCCCGGTCCAGATCACACTCCGCTTCAACCTGCCTAAGGAGCGGGAGGCCATTCCCGGTGGCGAGCCCGACCAGCCGCTCTCCTCCAGCTCCTGCCTGCAACCCAACCACCGCTCAACGGTACCCTCAGCAATTCCAGGGACCTTGCTTTCTTCTCAGGTCCCACCTTCTCTACCTTCTGACCCACCTTTCTTGGTTTCTCTCTGCAGAAACGGAAGGTGGAGGTGGTTTCCCCAGCAACTCCAGTGCCCAGCGAGACAGCCCCAGCTTCAGTTTTTCCCCAGGTGAGCCCCCACTTCATCTCTTCTCCTCCTTTCTGTACTCTGGCAGCTTCCTTTAGGCTTATCTCACAATCACTCATTCTATTCCTACCATCTCATCTGCAGAATGGATCCGCCCGTAGGGCAGTGGCAGCTCAGCCCGGACGGAAGCGAAAATCGAATTGCTTGGGCACTGATGAGGTGGGTCTGTGGAGCAGCACAAGAGGGAAGATAGGTGAAAAGGAGGGGATATACAGAGTGGAGAGTTTAGTCAGCAACTAGTTTAAAAGTTAATACAAGGGCTGGAGCTGTAGCTCAGTGCCTTGCATGTGAGGCACTTGGTTTGATCCTTAGCAACACATAAAAATAAAGAAAGGCTTGCTCTCCATCTACAGCTACAAAAAAAAGCTGTAATGAATCGTCATATACTACCAGAGAAATGAAAAGCTGCGCTCCTTTTGTGTACAATGGACCAAAATGCATTCTGTCCTCACATATAATTAGAATATTTTTTTTTAAAAAAATGCTGTGGCTCAGTGGTAGTGCACTTGGCTGGCATGTGTGAGACACTGGGTTCAGTTTTCAGCACTACATATAAATAACAACTGAAAAAATATTTTTTAAAAAATAAGTAAATAAATGAGGAGGGCTGGGGTTGTGGTAGAGTGCTTGCCTGGCACGTGTGAGGCACTGGGTTTCTCAGTACCACATGAAAAATAAATAACCGGGTGTGGGGGCAGCCACAGTGGCACACGCCTGTAATCCCAGCAGCTGGGGAGGCTGAGCAATTCAGTGAGACCTGTTTCTAAATAAAATGCAAAATGGGGCTGGGAATATGGCTCAGTGGTTGAGTGCCCCGAGTTCAATCCCTGGCAAAAACCCTCCCTAATAAATAAATAAATAAAGCAAGCAAAGGTCAATTAACTAAGAAAATATGTATTATTAAAAAAAAAAAAAAAAGTAAATGAGGGGTGATGCATAGTGATGGTGGGATTAGGAGCCAGGCAGAACATTGCTCATTTTAGTCACTGAGTGACCTTTTCCAATTATCAGTTTCTTAGTTTTGGTTTTGTATTTGGGAAAGTGGGGATTATGGCTTTCCTCATAATGTTATTAGGCTTGAAAGAGGAAGTGTGTGGCAGGGCTGTGAGCTATAGTGTCCTGTTGAGCCATCTCGTAAACCTGTCATCTTCCACTGGTCCTGGGCAGGACTCCCAGGACAGCTCAGATGGAATACCATCGGCACCTCGCATGACTGGCAGCCTGGTGTCTGATCGAAGCCACGACGACATTGTCACCCGGATGAAGAACATTGAGTGCATCGAACTGGGCCGGCACCGCCTGAAGCCGTGGTACTTCTCCCCGTACCCACAGGAACTTACCACTCTACCTGTCCTCTACCTGTGCGAGTTCTGCCTCAAGTATGGACGTAGCCTCAAGTGTCTGCAGCGTCACTTGGTAAGAGGGGTCCAAGGAAACTGCCCTCTCAGTGCCCCAACACCTTGCCCTTGCCCCTGATCATCTTGTCTTCCTCAGACCAAGTGTGACCTGCGACACCCTCCAGGCAATGAGATTTACCGCAAGGGTACCATCTCTTTTTTCGAGATTGATGGACGGAAGAATAAGGTCAGTGGCTGGGGGCAGTGGAAGTAGCTTCCTTTCATGTTTCATGCTCAGGAAAACTGACCAGTCTGGCCAACAGAATATTTCAGCCTGTTTTAATTGAATTCTTACTGTAGGGCAGGTGCTGGGGGAAACATAGATGACCAGAAATAAGAGAAAATCTCTTGCTCTAAGAGCCCATGGCCCATGGCAGACACAGATTTGCCAGCAGCTACTTAGTTCGCAATGTGAAAAGTATCATGAAACACAAGGTGGGTTAGCAGGGTCCAAAATGCTTCATAGAGATGACCTTGGAGCCCTGACATGAAGGGGAAAGTGGGTAAGAGAATCCAAGTAGTGAGGTTCTGAGGGGAGGCACATCCCTACAGGGATAGCATGTATTGACAGACAAAAGCCACTCTGGTTAAAAGGCAGAGGAAAGGGGCTGGGATTGTAGCTAAGTGGCAGAGCACTTGCTAACATGTGTGAAGCACTGGTTCAATCCTCAGCACCACATAAAAATAAATAAATAATAAAGGTATAGTGTCCATCGGCAACTAAAAAAACAAAAACAAAAAAAAAGGCAGAGGAAAGGGAATGAGGCCAGGCTATCAGAAGGGACAGAGCTTAGGTGACAGGAACAAGATCAGTGGGGTGGCATGAGGGGTCACAGCAAGTTTGTACCAGTGGGAAGAAAGAAGAAACCTGGAGATTGCTGAGACTCACCTGGTGGGGGAGCTGTGGCTGGGGTGCAAAGCAGGTAGTAAACAGCTAGGTGAATCTCCACTGAAAGTGAAGTTGAAGCAGCAAGATCCATAAGTTGTTGGTAAAACCCCTAAGACTACTTTTTGGTTAAATGTCAGGATTCCTTATCTCTGCCACAGAAGAGTAAGTCAGTTCCCAACAGGTGTGTGTTAAGGTTAGTGTGTTAAGGTTTTGATGGCCAGGTTCCCAAGACTTGCCACATGGGCATAGTTTCTCTCATTAACCTTGGTTCATGTSTGATTTCATGGAGACATGTCACTGTTGACAGTTTTTAAGTAGAGCAGGGTGCAGTGGAGGCCCCCAGACCAAGTTTAGGTGGAGGAGGAACAGGGAGCAGGGGGAATCTGTCCAGCTTGCCAGAGAGGCAGATGCCAGCATGGAGCCAGTACACAGGCTCCTGGACACCCGAGTAGCCCTGCTGAAGCAGCAAGGAGGGCCTGACTGGTGGAGTGGGTTAGGCCCCAGGCAATGATTTTTATCACCCATCTGCCTGGAACATAGCACAGAGAAGTTCTCCAGAAGGGTGACAGGTTTTTTCCTTTGCAGAGTTACTCCCAGAATCTGTGTCTTTTGGCCAAGTGTTTCCTCGATCATAAGACATTGTACTATGACACGGACCCCTTCCTCTTCTATGTCATGACGGAATATGACTGCAAGGGCTTCCACATTGTGGGCTACTTCTCCAAGGTCAGCACTTACCCTTGCTGTCTCACAGCTCTGCCCTGAGCCAGGTCCCTCCCCTCACTCCTGCTTCTCTGGAATAGGAAAAGGAGTCCACAGAAGACTACAATGTGGCTTGCATCCTGACCCTGCCTCCCTACCAGCGCCGGGGCTACGGCAAGCTGCTGATTGAGTTCAGTGAGTATGTGTGCTGCCCGGTTGCGGCTGGGGCTGCAGGCAGGCCCACACCTATTGTCAGTGCACCTCAGTGGTGCTTCACCTGCAGATGTGCCAGATTGCTGTGATTCTCAACCCTGGSTGTGCAGCCCGTCACCAGGAATGCCAGCCAGAAATAAAGGTGGGACTCTACCAAGGTCCTCTCCCTTCTCAGGGTAACTGCACTGCTTTTTGGAGTAGGTTCTCAGCCTCCACTGTTCCTGGGCTAAGATTCCAAGTACCAGCCCTCTTTCCCAAATCTGTTTCATCTGCTCCTACTCAGGGCCTGGGGAAACATAGTGAAGTCCTATTGCTCATCTCTCTGGGTTTGTACTACCATACAAGTTGTTAGGCAAGAACTAGAAGTTAATATCCCCAAGTACCAATGAGCCTCAAAGGCAGTAGGTATTTAAGAACTGGTTAACTCACCAAACTGATGTAACCACAGGCTTGAGCCCTGCTCCTTTATTCCTTCAGGTCAGTTCCTTAAAGCCCAGAACTATGCTCCTCTTTATACATAGGCTCTTCAATACCCCCAACCTTGAAATCAACTTCCCCCACTCCCCCACTCACCACTCTTAGAACTCTTGGGATAACCAAGTTCTGACTTGGAAGACAGGGAGGAAGCCTTAGGTTCTTTGCCAGGTGAAGACAAAGACTTTGACCTGACCAAGGTCATGGTCTATCTAAAAAATTTTATTGGTTGAATAGTACCAAGATGGGGTCATGTTCTCAGGAAACACTCAGCCTGGTAGAACAAATGGATCCTTAAGGAAACTCAGTAAATACTTCTGTGGAGATGGGATGTGGACAAGGTATTTATTTCTGACTAGCAGGGCAAGAGAAACATCATTGCAGGCAGCTCAAAGGGTGGGTGGATGTTCACTGGGGAGGATGTTCCCTGTAGTTGCAGAGGTGAGTATAGCCTCCAGGGACTCCGATCAGGACTCTGCATGCAGTGTGGACCCAGCAGAGCTGAACAGGAATCCAAGTGTGCCCTCCTTCCCTTATTGTTCTCTCTCTCTGGACACTAGCCTCTTTGTCCTTTTTGCCATAGGGTGGTTGGTTAAAGTCACAAGAGATTGGGCAAGAAGATAAGGCTAGCCAGTAAAGATGTAGCAAGGGCAGGGAAGGTTAAGATCTGTTTTGAGGCCAATTATAGCTGAAGATGAGGGAGGGCTTCTATAAAATAGCAGATACTCCAGGACCTTGATAGGAGAATGTAAACTCAACTGAAGAGTTGTGAGGCCACTCTACTCTGATTGAGGGTCTTGCCAAGGCCCTCAGTCAGCATAAGTAAGAAGGAAAGGGCCACTTCAGAGGTCAGCTACCTTGCTCCAAGGAATGACCTCTCTTGGGCTTGAAAAGTCCTTGCATCTTAATGCCATCCAGCCAAGCCAAACTGGCATTAGAACTGCTCACACTCCCAAGGTCACAGTGCATGGAGAGTTCAGGCATCTTTAGGCCTGGGTCAGAGATGAGGGTGTCTCTTAGTTCCTTGCAGACCAAAAAAGACTTGGATAATAAAGGAAAACCAATGGCTCTTTCTTCCCATAAGCCATTTTTTCTGCATTTCCCCTACCCATAAGCCTGCACTGGCTCCTGAGCACCCCTGTACTATAGCTGCTCTCAGTGCCCCTAGCCACAGATGAAGGTAAATACTCAGACCTTTAAGAGGGAATTGAGGGACAGCAGAGATAACTAAAGTATTAGGGACGAGGTAGCTTGACTCTGCAGTCTGTGTTCTTATATATTGAGGTAGCTTGACTCTGCAGTCTGTGTTCTTATATATTGTTTGTGTGGATTTGTGACCACTTACCATCCTCTCCTGCTCCATTGCTTTAGGCTATGAACTCTCTAAAGTGGAAGGGAAGACAGGAACCCCAGAGAAGCCCCTCTCAGATCTTGGCCTCCTGTCCTATCGAAGTTACTGGTCCCAGACTATATTGGAGATCCTGATGGGGCTGAAGTCAGAAAGTGGGGAGAGGCCACAGATCACCATCAAGTGAGCTGGGCTCTGCCTACCTGGGGGTGCATGGCATGGCTTATCTGTTTCTGGGGAGAGATGGAAACCCTCAGAGGATCTGACCTTTACCCTCCCACAGTGAGATCAGTGAAATCACCAGCATCAAGAAAGAGGATGTTATCTCTACCCTACAGTATCTCAACCTCATCAACTACTACAAGGTAGGGGGTGTGCTGGGGGGGACAGGTGAGTAGGGTGCTCAGGGCAGGACTTGCATAGGCTGACCACCCGCTGGACCCATCTCCTACCCAGGGCCAGTACATCCTCACTCTGTCAGAAGACATCGTGGATGGGCATGAACGCGCTATGCTCAAGCGACTCCTTCGAATTGATTCCAAGTGTCTGCACTTCACTCCAAAGGACTGGAGCAAGAGAGGAAAGTGGTGACCAGGCACTACCCATACCAGTGCCAACAGAACTGGTAGAACTGGGGCTGAAAGCCCATTCTACCCCCACTGGGGATCTGAAGAGGCATGCTAAGGGAGACAAGACTGAGGACAGCTCCAAGAGGGGATAGGCCTGGGAGGGGTCAGCTGATGGACAGCACCAATGTGAGCTCAAGGCTCAGAACAACTCCAGGGTCAGCTGGCTACAGGCCCAGGCCTGCTCTGAACCAGGGACCAGAGCCAGGCAGTTGTGTACAGTGAGATGGGGGTGGGGGCACTGTACAGAGGGCTGGTGATTGTAAAAATTCCTTTTGTAAAGTAGGAGCTGGGGGTGTGGTGGGTACTGGCTGCAAAAAATTCTGACCTTTCTTGCCCCCAGCAATAAATTGTTTCTATAGGCCAGAGCCACTAGAGGGTCTTGTGGGAATGGGACCCATGCTGGGGTAGGGGCACCAAGGTACCCAAAGACTCACAGGTACTGTGAAGAGCTCATTTATTGGGATGATGGAATCGCAGGCTCCAAAGTGAAGAGCCGGTTTACTGGTTTGAAGGAATCAGTGGCTTTCAATTTCAAGCTCTGGTTTTCAGTCCTCAGGCACCTGTGCGTGAATCTGCAACAGGAGTCACCTCTACTAATAGAGTTTCTAATATAGTGGCCAGGTGGGGAGGGACGAATGATACCCACTTCTAGAAAGGCCAGTGGTCGGGAAGCCATGCTTCCCACACTGCCCAGTCTAATTCTCCAGGGCCAGGCTCCATTGGCCCTGTAGTGCTCCCCAGCCCTAAATCTCCAAATCCCCCAAGGGCAAGACTGGAGCTGGGGTAAACAAGAAGAGGAGGGTGTACTCACCGCTTCAGCGAGGCTGGGCCAAGCGAGGGCCCCATGCACTTTGGCATCCGGGCCAGGGGCGGTCTCCAGACCCCACAAGGTGAAACTGCTGAAGCTGCCAGTGGCTCCGATAAAGCGGTCCTGGGAAAGGAGCCAGGCTAAACATTCGGGACGCGGCTCCTGCCCGCACCCCCTGCAACCCTGTCCCCGCGCTTACGAATTCTCGCTCCAGCGACTCTGGGGCTTCCACCAGCTCCTGCTCATCTCCCTCGCCGTCACTGTCTGAGCTCCCGGAGAAGTCCTGCTTCCCTTTCAGCCTCTCTCCCCTGTCCTCCGTCACCATCACGTATCCTGTGAAGCCGGGCGGCACCGCCGCTTCCTCGCCCCGTAGGCTGCGGCCCCGAAATGACACCTGGAGTCCTGCAGAAGGGAAGCGCGGGACCTGGGTCAAGACCTCCCCGCCACCTCCGGGGGACCCCGCTGCCCGGGAGCCCCGGCGGGCGCGAGGGCTGCCGGGAACGCGGACCAGCTGCGAGGCTCACCGTCGGGGCCCTGGCGGACGGCGGGCGTGAAGAAGCGCCCCACGGGGGCGGGCCCATTCACCAGGACCTCGCAGGGCAGGAGGTGCAGCGTGGCTGGGGCCGCGTCGCACAGCGTGACGGGGCGCAGGTGGATGCGTTCCTTCTCCACCACCGCCTCGCCGCGGCATTCCATCCTCCCGGCGCCGCTTGGGGCCGAGGGCAAAGCTGGCGCGGGAAGCGCGCAAGGCCTGTCGGGAGGCGGGGTACGGTCGGCGCGGAGCCTCGCGGGAAGCGTAGTTCTTCCCCTTTGCAAGCCCTGCCTCCCAGCGGGAAATCAATGGTATGCGAAATCACTCCAAAATCATGTCTGAACACTGGCAAAATATGAGCATTATCCAAATCACAAAAATAACAAAATTCCCTCTTTCTTTTATAATATGGTGACTTATTTGCGGGGTAAGGGTGCTAGGATACTGCGCTTAGTGAACATAGGGGTGCTCTACTACTGAGCTGCTTCCCTGGTCCTTTTTATTTATTTGGAGACAGGGTCTAGCTAGCCTTGAACTTGTGATCCTCCTGCCTCAGCTCCTGAATAGCTGGGCTTAGGGGTGTGTGATATGGTGCTCAGATGATTTATTTTTTAAAGTACAATGCTAGACTCCAGCTAGTTTTCTTTCCTTCTACTTAAGATTTGTGAGGATATCCCATCATATGTGATAGCCTCACTTCTTTTTTGGGGGTTCTTTTTGGTTTGGGGGATTGAACCCAGGGGCCACATCCCCAGCCCTTTTAAAAATACATTTTTTAAGTGTTGATGGATCTTTATTTTTATGTGGCTCTGAGACTCAAACCCAGTGCCTCACACATTCTAGGCAAGGGCTCTACCACTGAGCCCTCCCCAGCCCTTTTTATAGTTTACATTTTATTTTGAGATAGAGTCTAGCTAAACTGCTGAGGGTGGCTTTAAACTTGCAATCTTCCTGCCTCGACTCTGGGATTACTGGCAGGCACGACTGTGCTTGGCTTGAGATAGCCCCACTAGTGTCAACATCCAATCCGAAGAAAAGCCCCTGCTTCCTTCAGCCCTTCCCCAAATCACTGAATAGAAACACATCGCATATGCCCTTCCTAACATCCTGAGACATATGCCTTAAAGTATATTGTGCTAGGAATGTACTGTCAAATTGCCATTTTGTGCTTTTTCTATTTTTGGTGCTGGGAATGAAACCCAGGGCCTCATGTATGCCGAGCAAGATCCTACCATTCAGCTACACATCTCTAGCCTCCAAATTACTGTTTTTAAAGTCACTTGAAATAATTCTTTCTGTGATTATACCACCAGCTGGATCCTTAGTTAGGATCACTAGTTTCATTTTGCTTTTGACTTTGAAAGATAGTTGTTTAAAATTTCACTTTTGTTTTATAAATACATGATTATTTACATGCTTTTGAAGTCAAATCTTTAAAGTAATATATATTCAAAGGAAATTAGTGGCATTCCTTGTTTCATCTTTTTTCTCCTCCCATAAGTAATCTTTTAAAATATTTAGTTTTTCTTCCCATTTTTAAATTTTTTTWAAATTTTTTTTAGTTGTAGTTGGACACAATACATTTATTTTATTTATTTATTCATATGTGGTGCTGAGGATCAAACCCAGGGCCTCACACGTGCTATGCGAGTGCTCTAACACTGTGCCACAACCCCAGTTCCACTTGTTTACTGTTTTAAATTGTTAATAACTTTGTGTATATTGGATTCACCTTCCTAATATTCTGTTGAAGATTTTTGCACTTATGTAGTTTTCCCTTCTTGTAAGGTCTTTATCTCGTTTGGGGATTAAGGGCATGTCGACCTCATACAATGTATTTTTTTCCTCTGCTTCTAGTTCCTGGAAGAGATTGTAGAGAATTGTCATTTCTTTCTTAAAAGTTTTGTTTTGTTTTAAATATTTATTATTTTTAGTTGTAGTTGGACACAATATCTTTTATTTTTATGGGTGCTGAGGATTGAACCCAGGGCCTCACACATACTAGGTGAGTGCTCTACCGCTGAGCCACAACCTCAGCCCTTGTTTTTTTTTTTTTTTAATATTTATTTTTTAATTTTTGGCGAACATACATCTTTGTTTGTATGTGGTGCTGAGGATCAAACCCGGGCCGCACGCATGCCAGGCGAGCACGCTACCGCTTGAGCCACATCCTCAGCCCTTGTTTTGTTGTTTACCAGGAGAATTTACCAGGRAAACCACTGGGTCTTCCTTCTTTTTTGGAAGGTTATTAATTATTAATTCAATTTTTTAATAGATATACACCTATTCAAATTATATATTTCTCTTGTGTAAGTTTTGGTACTTTGTATTGCTCAAAGAATTGATCCACATCATTTATCAAATTCACAAGCATGGAATTGTTTATTTAACGTCCTTTTAATTGTCCATGAGATCCATAACAGTGACCCCTCTTTAATTTCCAATATTAGTAATTTGGATCTTCCCCCCTTTTTAAAACTGATTAGTTCAACTAGAGATTTTTTTTTCAATTTTAGCGATGTTTATAGGACAAATTTTCAGTTTTATGGATTTTTCTGTTTATTTCCCAAAGTCTGTGAAGTGCATATCAAAAAGCATGTGCTTAGCATGTGCCCTAGGTGTGATCCCTAGTGCTGCAGAAAATAAATAAGCATCTTATAGGGAGCTGTTTTGTGACTATAGAAATAATTTGTTCCTCATCGTACTTTTGCCTACTTATCTGATCATTCACTGATGATTCTTGCCTGAAACAGTTATTGCTGATGGTGATTTTCTACTTCCATCATTCCTCCTACAATTATTAGCTGATGTTGGAGAGCTGTCCCTTCTCCCTCAGTTTATTTATTCAACTACTTATTTATGGGACTGAGAGTATAGCTCAATGGTAGAGCACATRCCTAGCATGTATGAGGCCCTGGGTTTGATTCCGAGTATGGCCAAAAAGTTAAAAAAAAAATTGCTTATTCACATCAACATGGTTATGTGGATATTTACCCATTGGTTTTCATTTACTAGTGTCATTTTGTTGTTGTTGTTATTGCTCAATTTAACCATTGAGAGGTCCTTCAATTTTGCTGCCCTTGTACATTCAATATGCCCCCTAATTTAAAAATAAATTATAGACATATAATTCATATACCATAAAATTATCCCTATTAAACTGTAAAATGTCGGGGCTGGGGTTGTGGCTCAGCAGTAGAGCACTTGCCTAACGTGTGTGAGGCCCTGGGTTTGCTCCTCAGCACCACATATAAATAAATAAATACAACAAAGGTATTGTGTTGATCTAGAACTAAAAACAACAACAAAAAATTAACTGTAAAACATAATAATTTTAGTGTATTCACAAGATTGTGAAATCATTACAAATTCCAAAATATTTTCATTGCTCCAAGGGGAAATGTCATTCATTACCATTTACATACCCCATCCTCTGGCAACCATTACTTTACTTTCCATCTTTATGGATTTGCGTGTTCTGGACATTTCATATAAATGGAATCCTATAGTATGTGACCTGTTGTGTCTGGCTTCTTTGGTCACTTAGCATAATGTTTTAAGGATCCACATAAGATCTAGCGGTATGTTAATATTTTTCTTTTGCAGTACTGGGGGTTTAATCCAGGGGCGCTCTATTGCTGAGCTACCTCCCCAGCCCTTTTTATTTATTTTGAGACAGGGTCTCACTAAGTTGCCTAAACTGGCTTTGAACTTGTGATCCTCCCACCTCAGCTTTGATAGTAGCTGGGATTAAAAGAGTGTGCCAACCACACCTGATTCTTTTATTCTATTTTTTGGTTATGAATAATGTTATAATGTGTAGATACACCACATTTTGCTTATCCATTAATCCACTGATGGTACTTGAGTTGTGCTATGTTTTAAATGTTTGTGTCTCTCCAAAATTCATGTTAAAATATAATCCCCAGTGCAGCAGTATTAACAGGTGGGGCCTTTAAGAAATGATCAGGCCTTGAGGGATCTGCCCTCATGAATGCAATTAGAAACTTTACAGAAGGGCTGGA